CAGCCCCCAGGTTTGGGCCCCCTAAACGCGGTCCGCCTAGCCCAGTGGCCCCTGACATGTGGCCTTCGGGGTTCGCCCTGGTCCTACCAGCGGCTCGAACCCCAGGTCATAGGGGCCTAATCCTGAGGGAGTATTTGCGGAGTTGAGGACAGCAGGCCCGCGTCCGGCCTCCCGCTTTCCCATTTCTCGGATGCAGCCATACATAGGCCGCGAGCCCCGGTTATTCCCAGTGCCTCGCAAAGCGCCCCACCTCCCGGCCCCCGAGCTGGGGTCTTTGTCTCGGCCGCCCCCACCTCCGGGCCACGGCGGCGGAGGCGCCCAAGCCCGGCAGCCGAGGCGCCCAAGCCCGGCAGCCGAGCCGCGGCTGCACCTGCCGACTGGTCCCGTGCGCCGGCTTTGCGCGGCTTAACCCGGCTCGCTCCTGCGTGCGCCCCCGGGCGCCGCGCCCCGCGGCCCTTTATCCTGTGTGGCTGGGGTGCGGGTGGGGGAGAGCGCCGGGTCTGGAAGTCTCCCCCCAGCCCCAAGCCGGAGTCGGAATCTGTTTAGTGGGATTTCAATAAGAATGGGGCCGCCGCGGGCTCCGGGATCTGCCTCCGGGAGGCGTAGACGGCGTTCTCGGTCTGCCTGGACGCCGGGCATTTAGAATCCTTCGGCGGCAGCCAGGCTTGAACTCCAGGTTGCCCCAACCGCGAGGGGAAAGCTCCGGCGTTCAGGGCCCCCGGGAGTGGCGGCCGCTCCTTTCCCGGAAAACACGGAAGGAAATTCGTTGTTTTGGAAAAAGCTACGTCTCCCGGGGATCGGGAACATCTGGCGGTGAGCTCCGGGTCTACACGGGCACCTAGCGATGGGATTCGTTTATGAGTAGGCAGAATTCGAGAAGCAGGTAGGGCCAGGGCGGCTGCCCAGGCGTCTGGAGAGCGTTTCCCAGCCGGGGTGACAAATTGCAAACAAATTGCGTCTAACGAAACGGATTTACCAGTTGTCATGCTGCTGGGCCGCCGGGCCGCCCGGCCGCCAGGCGCTTTGAGTAAACCGTGGCTGTTGGTGAAGCACGGAAAAACGCTGCCCGATTGCTGCAGGTCTCAGCAGGGCCCATGGGGGAGGCTGTGCGGGTTGGAGGTGGAACCTGATAAGGAGATACGGGATCTCCCAGGCGCCTCGATGCAGGGCGCCAAGACTTCTCGGTCGTGGGCCCCGGGTTTTACGATTCGAAGAGGCCCAAAAGACGTAAGGGGTGGGAGAATCTTCATGGAGGCCACAGGAGAGGGAGCCTTCACATTTGGGGGACTGGAAGTGAACCCCAACGAGCAGAAGGGGTTGTTGGAGCCTGGACCCTCCATTGCAGAACCCCTCTGGAGGGATGGCTGCAGGCCTGAGCAGATCTGAGGCCTTGCCCTTTGGGGACTTCTGAACCCCTCTGGCTAAAGCGGCCCCCACTTCCTCCGCAGTACCCCTCAAGGCACATTGCCAGGGTAGGGCTGGGAGGTCGCTGGATTGACAATTAAATATCCCTATGGAAGGCAGCCCCTAAGCAAACTGGTTTCTTTGAATCTCCCCTCCACTGCGGGCCAATTCGATGCCCATAGGAAAAGGTGGGAAGAATTAGGTTACAAAGAGAGGGCAAACTTATGGTTCCAGAGGGGCTACCTTGGATGACGGAAGTTTAAACAAAGGGCGTGGAGGGGAGGGCCATGTAGGACGAGGAAGACCGGGCAGCTGAGAGCCACGGCCCAGGCCCGTGAGGCCCGGTAGAACCGGGCCTCCGGATCCCTGCGCTGCCAGCTCCCCGGAGAAAGCATCCTGAGCCGCACCGATGACCCATGCTTTCTTGGGGAATCTCAGGCCACTTGAAGGCAGTTAGAAAATTCAGTTTCTCTGCTGCCCTTCCCCAGTGCTTCCTGAAGTCTTGTTCTTATGTAAGGAAAGTGACAGCTTCTCGGTGCGATCAAAAGGCAGCACCCGCATAAGCAACAACCCTTGGAAACGAACAAAAACATGAAAAAGGGAACGCGTCCCTCTGAAGGTGTTCCGGACACCCGTAATCCCGAGGCTGTAAACTGAAATAAATCTGCTCTTCTCAGGCTCAAGGATGGCCCCGCAATCCCAGCCGATTTGGGGGGCCACCCTGATCCTCCCCCCACGGTTGTCTGGGTACAGGTGATAGGATGGTCTCCGTTGCCTACTGGGCAAGATGCCCGGGTAGTGTCCCTTGGTTTGTCTGGCATACACGTACACTCATGATTGGAGTGGGGGTTGTTTTACCGACCAGCTGGGCCTTCTCCTGCCTGGCGCCCCTCTTTTCTCTCCCAGGCGGGTTCGTTCCTCCGGGAGAACGCAGCAGTCCCGCCTCCAACGCAGGAGCTCAAATCATAGTGGAGGCCTCCGACAAGCCGGCTGCCTGCCTGCCTTTTGGAGGAAGGCAACCCGGGGGGGCTTCAAGAGACTTGGGGGAGCTCCCTCCTCCCCTTTTCTCTAGACCCCGATTGCGGGAAGGGAGACTGGTGCCGATCTCCCGAGGCCCCTGCTCAAGCATTGCTTAACTGCCCTGCTAAGCTCCTCTGCGCCGCGATTTTCTGAGCCGCCGAGCGGGGTAATTAAATCCCCGCCCGCGCTCGGTTCTGCGCCAGGCCAGCGGGCAGCTCGGGGCTGCTGTTCAGGCAGGGGGCCCGGCCAGGATGGTCACCTCCACTCCTGCGGTGGCCCAGACGCTGCCCCGGAGAGGCTTCAGGTTGCCCCGGAGGAGCTTTTAGCCGAGTTCGGAATGATGAAACTGCAGGCCTACCCAGGATGGGGGTCATTTGAACCACGCCTTTGGGGGAAATAAAGCGAATTACCTGTTTTCCCGAGGGCCGGAGCGGCCACGTCCCTGCGAGACAAGACGCAGATCGCAGCCCCATGGAAAGCTTCCGCTCGGCTCCGGCGTTCAAGGCCCCGCGACCGGCGAGCGGCTGGCTGCCTCCTGCGCTGGGTCCCGGGGTTCAGGCTGACGGGGCAGCCTTGCCCGACACCGGGGATTGTCCCCGGGGCCGCGGTGTCTTTGATAAGCTGTCGCTGGGCTCCAGGGACGCCAAACACGTTCGAGGCTCTGACGATCGCATTTTACGCGTTGATGAAGAATCGTAAGCTAAAGGCAGGGAGGAGAGATAGACGAACAGAGAGGCAGCGAGTCCGGCCCAGACCGCGCGCGTTGCGGGGAACGCGAACCGCAAGGCACTGAGGCCAATCACCTGCCCGGCCCGGCCGTGGAGGCCCGGCGCCCGCGGCCTCGCGCTCCCACTCCCCGGCCCCGGCGCGCTTTATCCGGCTGGCGCCGGCCTCCTCTCATGCGGAGCGGAGTTCCGAGAAGCCCGGGCGGGCCTGGCGCGCCCCGGAGTGGAGGGGAGCGGGAGGCGCAGCGGGCCGCCGGGGCAGGAGGGTCCCTAAGCGCCCGGGACGCGCTGGTTCCCAGCCAGATGGGGCTCCGCGCCTCCGGCCCCGCGTCTTTACCTGCGCCAGGGCCTCGGACAGATGAACGGACAGCCGGACGCAGAGGCAGGAGGAGGCCCCTGGCCCGTGCCGGCACCCCCGGAGCTGCCCAGAGCTGGCCTGGGAGAGGGTGACTGGGGCGCGCCCGCGGAGCTGGGCCTGGCCGGGAGCCCCCCGAGCCGAGGGGACCGAGGGTTTTCCTCCCTCCTCGGATTATTAAAAAGTTCATTTCCTGGCGAATCGGGTGACGTCAGGGGCCCGGCGTCGCGGTGGCGGGGCCGCCGGGCCGGAGAAGCCGCCTCCAGTTACCCAATTACCGACTGTCAATCCCGCCGCCCCTCCCCCCACCCTCCCGGGGGTGGCCCGGACCCCCACCCTCTCCCCGGTCCCGGACCCACCTGGGATCCCTCTGGGCTCCTACTCCGAGAGCCGTAGACTCAGCTAAGGGAGAGGGGCTGGAGGACGACGATTACTCCCCCTTACCCTCGCACCTGTCTCAATCCCCCCAAAGTTCTTTGTTTCTGACCCCCCCCCACACACACACCGCCTCCCTCGTCGGCCATAGGCTCCTTTCGAGCCTCGGTCTCCTCAGTCTGTATAATGGGAGAGAGCAAGGAGATTTGTGCACGGGGCCCACTCCCCCCACAGAGCTGGATCTCTGCACTGGAGGTGTGTGGAGAGCGGTTCAGGTGACTTAGGGGACGGAGTTCTCAGTCTACCGCCTCCCTCTCCCCAGGGGCCGCCTTAGGGACCCCGGAGAGGGAAAAATGCCTCCTCCTGCCCAGAGGCGTCTCCTTCGAGCCGGCGCCGGCGCCAGTCCGGGTCTCCATGGCCTCGCCCCAGGCAGTTCGGCCCGCTGGTCTGCGAAGGCCACGCCCGGGAAGGGGACGCCCCCTCCCCCTCTCTGGAGCCGCCAGCCAGGCCACCTCCACCCGGTCAAGCACAGTCCTAAGCGGCCTGTTGTCCGAGGCCCAGGTGCCCGCTCGAGCCGCGTAGTTCCTGCCCCTCACTGCTCCTGCTGTCCCGCAGCTGTCCTTCCAACCCCCTGCCCAGCCAGAGCCCGAGTCGGGGGAGGGAATGGTCTGGGTAGGTAGCCGGGACTTCAGCTGGCCACGTTCAGTGGTAAAGGAGGTGGGATCCGAGAGTGGAAGGGCTGGGGTCCCGGAGAGAGGACACCCAGACACCCAGAGGGTGCACGACCCGTGCTCCCGGGGAGGGGTTCCCAGTTGGAGGTTAGTTACTGGGAGGAGGGCCCTGAGGTTAGGGGGATCCAGGAGTGTCCGCAAGAGGGGGCGCAGCAGTTGGCCAGTGGGGTGAGGGTCCTGGCGGGGGGCGTTGGCAGCAGGGGCCGCCGGGAGGGCGCTGGGAGGGGGCCCGCCGGCGCAGGGGGGCAGGCCCGCGGGGTCAGTCCCGGAGTCCGGCGGACCGGAGTTGCGGGCTCAGCCAATGGGGGGCGGAGGCTGGGCGGCGCGCGGCGCTGATTGGCTGGCACGGGCTTCTTAGGCGTGTACGGCCCCCGCTTCATGTCTGTGCAGGAGTCGCGAGCTGGCGCCAGGGCGGCCGGAGGATGCCGAGGGGCCGGAGCCGGGCGGGCCTGAGGCCGAGGCGCGCGCTGTCCCCTGATCCTACCCCGTGAGCCCAGCCGCCCGAAGCGCGATTCCTGAGCCCGCCACTCCCGGGGCTCCCTACGGTGCTGATCCCCCGATCCCGAGGCCGCGCCCCCCCTCCTCGCGGCGCTGGGTGTGTAAGTTTGGGGTGCGAGAACTGGCCGGGGGCCTGGGGCGCTCCAAGCTCTGAGAGGTCTCTTCCGGGGCTCAAGGCCGGGGCCAGGCTGCGGGTGACTGCTTTGGTGTGCCGTGGTGAGAGGTCCTGATTGTGCCGCCTGGGAGTGCGCGCAGGGGGCTGGCTCCCAGCCGCTGGGGCTGCGTGTGCGTGTTGCGGAGGGGGGGGGGGCGGAGGTCGTCAAGTCGGTATGTGTATCTGGCGCCAAGTGTAGGTATGTGCGTGTCGCTGGGATCATGTGCCCCGGTGGGTGCCCAGGAGCCTGTCTCCAACTTTTAGTCTGTGTTTATGTGTTTTGTGTACCGGGAAGGAGGGGGGTCGGTGTGATTGTCCGACTTAAAGTGAGACTCTGTATGTGTTTGTTGGGGTAACTGCTGTCGGGGCTTGTCCCGTGTGTGACCCGGCGTGCACGAATGTGTGGCTCTGGGACCGGGGGTCACCATGTGAGTGTGTGCGGCTGAACCCTCTCCTCCGCCTTCCTTTCGTTTTGAGCTTTGAGTTTTCCTCCCACCCGGGACTGTTCCTCGGCAGAGCGCGGCTGAGGCGCAGCGGCGTGCGGGACTCCGCGTGGCGGGACTTTGGGGGTGTCAGGCCGTGGCGGCGCCCCTCACACCCCCTTCCGTCGCTCAGGGACGCCGCCACCGCCTCGGCCCAGATCCCGAGCCTCCACTGCGGGCCATGGAGGTGGCGCCGGAGCAGCCGCGCTGGATGGCGCACCCCGCCGTGCTGAATGCGCAGCACCCCGACTCGCACCATCCGGGCCTGGCGCACAACTACATGGAGCCCGCACAGCTGCTGCCTCCCGACGAGGTGGACGTCTTCTTCAACCACCTAGACTCGCAAGGCAACCCGTATTACGCCAACCCAGCCCACGCGCGGGCGCGCGTCTCCTACAGCCCCGCGCACGGTGAGCCCCCGGCCAGTGGGTGACTGGGAGCCCAGGCGCCAGGGGCGGGAGGGGAGGAGGGCCCGGCTGCCTGCTTCCCGGATGTGAGATCCGCAGGAATCGGAGCAGCTGAAAAATTGGGGCGGGAAAGGTGGGGGCAGCAGCCTCTTGGGGAGGGTTTGGGCACCCTAGGGTTTCTGCCCATTTCCAGCTGGCCTGTGGGGGTTCCCTCCAGGCCCTGGTCCAGTGGGGTTCCTTCTGTGCCACTTGTCCGTCAGCTCGGGACTGACATTCTTGATTATTGCCGGTTGGGGTGTTATGTTTCTGGTTTTCTTTGGGAAGAAGGTTACTGCTGGTTGTTCTGTGAGTTGTGGTCCTGGGTATCGGAACCCTAGCGCGGCTCAGCCTCTGCCCACTCTGACTCCTCTCCCTCCTCTTGCAGCCCGCCTGACCGGAGGCCAGATGTGCCGTCCACACTTGTTGCACAGCCCGGGGTTGCCCTGGCTCGATGGGGGTAAAGCTGCCCTCTCCGCTGCTGCAGCACATCACCACAATCCCTGGACCGTGAGCCCCTTCTCCAAGACACCGCTGCACCCCTCAGCTGCTGGAGGCCCCGGAGGCCCCCTCTCCGTGTACCCAGGGGCAGGGGGTGGGAGTGGGGGAGGCAGCGGGAGCTCTGTGACTTCCCTCACTCCCACTGCAGCCCACTCTGGCTCCCACCTCTTCGGATTCCCACCCACTCCGCCCAAGGAAGTGTCTCCCGACCCGAGCACCGCCGGGGCTGCCTCTCCAGCCTCCTCTTCCGCAGGGGGTAGTGCAGCCCGGGGGGAGGACAAGGATGGCATCAAGTACCAGGTGTCACTGACCGATAGCATGAAGATGGAAAGCGGCAGTCCCTTGCGCCCAGGCCTGGCTGCCATGGGCACCCAGCCTGCCACACACCACCCCATCCCCACCTACCCATCCTATGTGCCGGCCGCTGCCCACGACTACAGCAGCGGACTCTTCCACCCTGGAGGCTTCCTGGGTGGCCCTGCGTCCAGCTTCACCCCTAAGCAGCGCAGCAAGGCACGCTCCTGCTCAGGTAAAGGCAGGTGCCAAGGACCTAGTGGAAGTGGGGATGGTTTGTGCTTTTGCGTGTGTGTTTTGGGGGAGGAGGGCTGTGATATGGGAGATGGGGCGATGTCAGTCTTCCAGATCTGGGATGGGTGATGTCCCCCTCCAATAGCCTCCAACAGATGTTTGAGACTCCAGAATGGGGGAGAGGGAGCCCTAAAACTTTTGTCCTTTTCTTAACTGTTCCCAGTGGCCCCCAAAGTTCATTTCCCTTCCCCCCTCCTCGCCCTCCCTTCCAAGGTTGGCCACTGCCAGACCAACACAGGACGGGAATTCCCCCTTCCCTTCCCTTAATCTGAAGTGAAAATTTGAGCAGCCTCTTGACTTAATGTGGGAGAGAATGCAATACACAAGTGACAACCATGAGGCTGTGTGTACGTGTGTTTGTGAGTGTGTGTGCATGCTGTGGGTGTAGTGTAGGTGCTCCAGGCCCTCAAGGAGTCTGGTTCTCCAACGCAATCAGTCCAGTCTTGGGATTTCGATGTTTCCCAATCTCCTTGGGAGATTTCCCCCAAAGCAACATTCCCAGGACTTGTTCCTGCTCCCTGCCCCCTAGCGTCCTTCATTCTCCCTGAAGGCTGGAGTGAGGGGGATGAAGGATAGGTGCCTCTGCCCCTTTGCCGGAGGAGACGGCTGGAGCCAAGCTGGTTTGTCCAAGAATCTGGCCATAGAGCAGGAACCAGGGCCAGGGCAGGACTTTGGTTGTCAGTGCCTCCTTCCCAGTCCCTGTAAGTGGAGGAAGAGGAAGACTTTTTAAACTTTTACTCCTGAGTCCGGGAAACTTTTCATGCCCGTATAATATAAAGACAATTTAGTTGAAACTAAATGGGGAAACATTTTCCTGGACTTCGTGATGCCAGGGCATCCGGCTACCCTGCCTGATTGCTGCTGCCACCTCGGGCACCCACCTCAGCCCCACCTCGGGGGCCCCTGTGCTGCTCAGGCCTGCTACCTTGCCTTTAATTAGCCCCTTCTCCCAAGTTTGTTTTACACATTCTATTTGAATTCCAGATGGTCTTTTAGCAACAACAACAACAACAACAGAAAACAAAAACAGAACCCCAAAAACCCACCATCGACAGAAGACCAAGGTCACTTAGTCTACTTGGCTTAAAAACAAAAGGGCTTATGGTTTATTTTATTTTAAAGAACACCGCCTTCGATCTGAGTCCGGGACTGAATTCTAGGGCCTCCGCGGAAGAGGGGGCAGCTGGGGAGAAAGAAGGAAATTCCCCTGCTTGGAGAACAGGAGGAGGGTAGGAGCTGAGGGCAGAGAATTGGGAGGTGGCAGACGTAGCTGGGGAAAAGGGGGGAGACCCAAGAGGAGAAGCAGAAGTAGAAAGCGAGCCAGAGCCCTCCCAGGCCCAGCCAGGTCGAGCGGGGCCACTCCTGCCACCGCCCTGCCGTCGGCAAAGTTTGCTGTAAATACCCTTTCATTGTCGCGCCGAGAATCCCTGGGGCCCTGGCCCCACTCCTCCCTCCTGCCCCGCTTCCCTTCCTTCAAGAGAGAGTTTTGAAGAGGGAGCTTTGGCCTTAAAGCTACTCTCTGAACTCCTCTTCTGAGGGGGAAACCTCCTCCGGGTCCCTCTTCCTGCCCAGGGCTGGAGCTAAAAGTCACCGCCCGAAGCAGCCCGGGCTGAGGCCGACCGCTGCCTGGTCGGCGCCCGCCCACCCCTGGCTCTCTCCCATGACCTTGTCTGTTAAGCAGGCCCTCTGTCTCTCCCTGTCCCCCTTCAGAAGGCCGGGAGTGTGTCAACTGTGGGGCCACGGCCACCCCTCTCTGGCGGCGAGACGGCACCGGGCACTACCTGTGTAATGCCTGCGGGCTCTACCACAAGATGAACGGGCAGAACCGGCCACTCATCAAGCCCAAGCGGAGACTGGTAGGCACGGGGCAGCAGGTGGCTGGGGCGGGGGGGCCGCTAACCTGGGCCGGGCAGGCGACTTAGTGAAAAAATAATAGTAACCCCACCAAAACCTTCCGAGGCAGCGGCTTTGCCTCTTGAAATCCTTTTATCATTAAAATCACTTGGGGTCGCTCTTCTTTTAGGTCAGATTTTTTCGGGCCAGATTTCCCCCTCTGCAGCCCACCAGGTACCCTCACCGCATGGAGCTCAGGAATCCCCAACATGGAGTGTCCGAGGGCCCAACTCCTGTCCCCTGGCCTCTGTTTAACTCTTTTTAAAAATAGGGCCATGAAGTAATTTTCCTTGTAGCCCAGCACACAATCTCCTCACGCTTATTTAAATAAAACACACACTCACACCAACCACCAAAAAAACCTGCCCTTTATTATTTTTCCATGGAGTCACCTATACTGTGTATTTTCATTTGAGTGATTTAAAAAAAAGGCCCTTTCGGATCTCCTGCCGGAGTTTCCTATCCGGACATCTGCAGCCTGAAGATAAGGAAACTTCGCGTATCTGTTTCCGGACCCCGCGAGTTTTAGAGCCTCTCCTCGGCTCAGTCCTGCCTCTCGCTGGGCTGTTTTGAAATTTCTAATACCCTCCACTCTGCAAATAATGCGTAAAATGCTAAGAATAATAAATATATTTTTTTCAGGGCGAAGTGATTTACGAGGCTTAAATCGCTTGCCTCTTTGGGGGCCCCCTTTCCCCCCCACCCCCCAACGAGGGCGGGGTGAGGGCCCGGGTGGGGGTAGGGGTGGAGGATACAGTGTTGGCCCCTGAGTCAGAATTCCAGCTCCAGGCCGCTTACTCACCCTCACCCTCCCCGCCCCCAAGGCTGCAGTCCGGCAGGTCCCTCGGACTGAGGGAGCAAGCTCCGGCCCTAGGCCGTCCCAGCCTCTGCTGGTCTCCTTCCCCCACCCCCTGTCTTGCTGCCTGTGGTTCTTTGGGAAATATTTGCGGGGGCGCGGACAGACGTGTTCTGTCACTGTGGGGCTGGCGCTGGTGGACCCTAAGGGGGTCGGGGTCTTGTTTGGGGAAGGGAACTGGACCTGCTTTCTCGGTCAAGACTCTCTTACTTACTCTTGTTAGGAGCCTTCAGCTTCCTTCTCCAGAAACCAGACCCTCATTTCCAGACTATCTCTGGCCTGCATTCCCTGAGGGGCTGCGGAGCAGTCAGCAGTCTGTGGTTTGGGGTACAGGGTGCCGGACGGACCAGCCTTTTGCTGATGGAAATGTTCTGGCTCTGCCCTGTCCACTGTGGTCGTGACTGTTGATTCCTTGAAATGTGGCTAATGCCATAGAAGGAACTGAAGTTCTAATCTTATTAAATCATAGTTCAGTTGAATTCGAACAGCCCCACATGGCTAGTGGCTATGGGCACTGGACGGCGCAGCTCCAGACCTCCCTAAACATTTGACGTCCCTGCCTGGCCTCTGTGGGGCCGTCACACCCAGGATGGTGGATTTTGAAAGGGGTCGCGTGGGAGTGCAGCTCCAGACCCAGGGGCTCCAGGGGGACTGAGTCAGCCGCCTCAGGGCCTCAGTTTCCCCGTTTGATGGTTGGGGGCAGTGGCTCATTTGTCCTTTCAGCTCTTGCAACCCCGTGGATTCCGAGATCAGGCTTCTGATTGTTCTTTATTCTAAGTTCTGCACTGGTTTAGGTCTCAAATTCTAAAATTCCACGGCTTCTGAGATGCCTGGATTCCCCTGTGAGCTTTCCCGCTCCCGGGCTCAGTTGACAGGGACAGGGGTGTGGGGGGGTGAGGGTTGGGGAGGGAGGTCGAGGTGGGGCGTGGGAGCCCAGTCTGCTGACGCCGCCCCTCCCCTCCCAGTCGGCTGCCAGGAGAGCCGGCACCTGTTGTGCGAATTGTCAGACGACAACCACCACCTTATGGCGCCGAAACGCCAACGGGGACCCTGTCTGCAACGCCTGTGGCCTCTACTACAAGCTGCACAATGTGAGTCCACCCCTCCCGGCCCGCCCTGCCCCTCCCCGGGGACCGCGGCTCTTTGTGCGGCCAGGCGAGGGGGGCCCCAGCCACAATCTCCAGCGTGGCTTGGCTTGGGAGGCGGCTGCCGCCCTGCGGGGAAAGCCCCGAGTGCCAGAAGGGCTTCCCATAAGAGGGGGCAAGCCGACTGGAAGTGTGTCCCCCGTAGCGGGGGGCCCTGCAGGTCCGGGGGAAGCGGTGCCTCTTTAAAACAAAAGGTGGGCATGGAGTTTGGTCGTGTTGATGGGGGACGGTGCTGGCACTCAGTGGGCTCAGCGCCCTGCCCTGCGGGTCCCACACAGTGAAAAGCACCTTTCTTGACAGGGTAGCGTGCTGGCGGGAAGACCGCAATGGGCAGGGGGGGTTTGCAAGTGGGGTCCCCATCCCAGACCTGCCTTTGCCCCGTGCGGAAGCTGGGGGTCGGGGTCTTGTTTGGGGAAGGGAACTGAACCTCCTGAAGGTTTTGTGGTTGCCCCCAGGTGAACAGGCCGCTGACCATGAAGAAGGAAGGGATCCAGACTAGGAATCGGAAGATGTCCACCAAGTCCAAGAAGAACAAGAAAGGTGCAGAGTGCTTTGAGGAGCTGTCCAAGTGTATGCAGGAGAAGGCCTCCCCCTTCAGCGCCGCTGCCCTGGCCGGACACATGGCGCCCGTGGGCCACCTCCCACCCTTCAGCCACTCGGGACACATCTTGCCCACCCCAACGCCCATCCACCCCTCCTCCAGCCTCTCCTTCGGCCACCCCCACCATTCCAGCATGGTGACCGCCATGGGCTAGGGACAGCCCCCCAGAAGCAGACGGACAGATGCCGAGGAGGGTGGCGGGCAGCTCAAGGCTGGGCGCCCCTAGGCAGGGTGGGCCAAACCCTTAGCAGCCTGCCCTTCCCCGAAGACTGATGCCACTCCTGTCAGCCCGGCCGGAGCCCCAAGCTGCCTCTCCTGTGGGCGCTCCACTTGGCCGTCAGCGGTCACTGTGAAGATTCTCACCCGGGCTGGGAGGCAGCCTTGGCCCGGCTTGCTGCCCAGGTGGGGTTTCCATCACGGACGATTGTTTGGAGAACAGAATGGACAACTTTATAAAGAGAAGAAGAGGGGGGCAGGGGACAAACGAAGAAAACCGTGTTTAGAAGGAGAAAGGAGTAGGCAAAAATAATTTATTGCGCTCTTGTTTCTAGCAAGGACTGGGGAGACGTTCCCAAGTTCTCTTCTGGGTCTTCTTCTGCGCCAAGTGCTGCTTGGCCCATCTGCTTGCGGGGCCCTGGGGGCAGGTGTGTGGGCGTGGGGGGGTGCGGAGGCCCTGGCCCACACCTTCTCTTCTGGCTTCCTTTCCTGAAACAGCTGAAGCCCAGGTTGGGCTGAGTCAGTGCAGCGGGGCTACCAGCCTGGGGAGGCTGAGCGGTGCGTGCCCTGGCGGCCAGGCCCTGGAGGGCAGAGACAATCATGGGCGGTCCTGCGCAGATTCCCAGGCCAGGGCTGGGTCACAGGAAGGAAACAACATTTTCTTGAGAGGGGAAATGTCTCCCAGATCGCTCCCCTGGCTCTGAGGCCGAAGCTGGTGTGACCCGTGTCCCCTTAATGAGCCTGAGCCACAGCCTGACTCCAGCCAGGTGAACCCCTGTACATACATCCTTTTTCTGCGACACCCCTCAACCCCCTCCCCTCCCACTCTGAGACAAAAGAAAAAAAAAATATATATATATATATATAAAAGACTGCATAAGCTTAACTCGCTGAGGAGTTAGTTGTTTTATTTTTAAACTCATTTTGGGTCCAGTCAATTGTACGTTGCCACGGAAGCCCTTGCTATGGAAAGGAATAAAACCTACAAACCAAGGCTGTAGCTTCACAATTATTTTTGGAAAAGTACTTGGATCCCACAGCCCTAGGACGGGGAGCTGGGGGCCTGGGGAGGGGCCTTGGCTGCTCTTGGCTTCCCGGGGCTGGTCTGGCAGGTGGCGGAGGCAGGAGTTAGGGGTGGGTCCGGGGAGAGGCCACGACCCTGCTGGGGTCCCTGGAGACGCCTGAGTTCTGCTCTGTTTTGCTGTGGCTGTCTGGATCCCTCCCAAGGTACAGCTGTACATAACTGTGTCCGAGCTTAGATTCTGTATGCGGAGGTGGTGGGGTGCGGCGGCTGGCAAGGGCCCGGCCCGGGAAGAGGATCGTGCCGATGTAGTCGACCAAGTGCAATAGGGGCCGGCGATCGCTGCGGGGGGTGGGGGGGCGGGGGAGCACCACAGCCAGAAGTAACTTATTTTGTACTAGTATCCGCATAAGAAAAAGAATCCACAGTATTTTCTGTTTTTATGTTTTATTTGGCTTGTTTTATTTTGGATTAGTGAACTAAGTTATTGTTAATTATGTACAACATTTATATATTGTCTGTAAAAAATTGTATGCTATCCTCCTATTCCTTTAAAGTGAATACTGTTAAGAATAATAAAATACTTTTTGTGAATGCCTCTGGCCGGTCTTGTGGGCTCCTGGGCTGCTGAGTCCTGGGTGTGGCGATGGGCAGTCAGACCTAGCGGGTCCTCTGGGCCCAGTGATTTGGAGAGAAGGGCTCCTGGAATAGGGGATCGGGCCCTGTCTGGGGTCGGAGGTCCTGGCCTCCCTCCCCTGCATTTCTCCCATCTGAATTTCCTCACTGTCACCCCACTGGGGGTCCTGGTGGCTGGGTGGATACTGGGGAAGCACGTGGAGGCCGTGGTTTCTCCAGCCAGTGGTCTACACACTGATCCTTTTCCTGGGGCTCTTGTAGAACCCAACAAGGACCGACCCCACCCCAACCCCCATCCACTTCCTCCCAGATGCTGATCAGCTCTTGTTTCTGAGCTATCTGGTCATCAATATTCCTGTTCATTGACAAATATGGCCACCAATGTCATCGATTGCTGCCATCTTCAATCAACGAGGCTGGTCATTGGACATAGCTACCATGACTGTTATTCTTGGTCAGTGACATGTCTGATCACCAGAGCCTGTAACCATAGACATCTGATTACTAACAACTGATCACCAACACTCAATCACCAATATTTTATCAATGCTTCTGATCAATGAAGTGTCTGGTCACTGACAGCCACAAAATGTGATCACCAGTGTCTTCAGTGACTGTCCTGGTTTACTAGTAATATACCTGGTCATGAGTATCTCCTACCACCGATATTCGTGATCAGCACCTCTATTCATAAATTTTTCATATTCAGTGTGTCTGGTGCCAACATCTCTGATGACCATTGTGTTTCCTCAGTATTTCTATTCACCATATTTGTGATCACTGGAGCCTCTTATCACTCATGTTCCTGATTTCTAATGCACTGGTCCCCAGTGCACCCAGTCATTAATGTCTTAGTACATCGAGAAGCATGATCACCAATGTCACTGATCAATGTTTTTCTAATCATTGATAGATCTGATCACTCATATTTCTCTCCAGTATCTCCAATCACACTATTTTCATCACCACTGTCTCCTTGACAATGACTTTTGTCACTTGTCTACAGTCACCAACATCTCTGACAATCTAATGACCAATGTCCCTAATCAGGGGATCCTCTTCCCATCAAATTTTCTGTCGATGTGGTCACCAGTGATTCTGGTGACTGACATCCCTGGCTCCCCAGTGCTAATCACCCAGCTTTCTAGTGTCCAGCATAGACATTGTGGAGTCTCATCTTCCAAGTCCCCGATGACCAGTGTCCTTATATCCTGATCACCAGGAGCACTGACTGCCAGCCTCCTAGTCATCAGTATCACCAGCCACCTGTGTCTCTGGTTACTAAATTCTCTAACCATTGCTGCCTTTGGTGCCCAGTAGCTCACCTACCACCGGATCTCTGGGTGTCTCCAGCCATTGAATGTGATCACCTATGTCTCCTCGACACTCAGTCATCAAGGATATGGGCACCAGATGCTTCCTTCACTAACACTCCTGTTGCTCACATCCTCAGTCCCCCATGTCCCTGATCAATGATGAATGATATATCCAATCAATGATCATGCTGATCACCAGGACCTCCTGGTCCTCAGTGTATAGCCACTACCTCTCTGATCATGTGTTTGAATGATGTCATGTCCCATGATGCCACTGTCTCTAATTACTAGTCATTCTATTCATATGTCCCTGATGGATGACTTCTTTTGGCCCTGATCACCATCTCTGGTACCCTGGGTCCACAACGATTGGGATTTCTAAAGGCCAACCTGCTTGCTCCTTGGCAGCCCTGATGTCCACGTGGTCCAGGGGGCCCCTCCTTTCATTCTTCCCATCCCAGACTGCTGGTGCTGACAGGGTGCTTGCTTGGACCCAGGGAAGCAAGGGTCCTGTGGAGGGCAACATGCCTCCTGTGGGGTCCCAGAGAGCCCAGCCCAAACCCTGGGACTCTGACTCAGGAGCCTTCTGTTCCTGCTGTGCCATGCTACCACCCTACCTGCATCCTTTTCCTGTAGAATAGAAACCTAGAGCAGGTAGGAACCAACCCGGTGTGTAGCTGGATGGGCACTGGCTTGTTCATCTCAGTGCACGGTGGTCCTCTCAGCCTTTCCCCAGCTCATGGCATTCTGGCCTCCCCTCCTGTCAGCTGTAGCCACAGTGAGGGCAGGGATGGTCCTGCCCTCCCGTGCCCTGGCTCTTGACTGCAGGATTGTGTGTCTCTATGATCATGTACTCAAGTGTGCATGTCTGTCTGCCTGTTGAACACCTCCTACACACCAGGCACTCTTCTAGGTAAGGGGGCTATATCACTGAATGAAACAAACAGGAATTCCTGCCCTTGGGGAGCTTACCTTCTATGCAGTAAACACAATAATGACTCTACCTGGCCTCTGGCAAGCCATCCTATTACCTGGCCTGAAATCCAGAGCCCAGAGCCAGAACCTGGAGTCCAGAGCTTTGAGTGCACAACCGGTCTCCCAGGACTCAGGAACCAGACCCAAAACACAGAGCACAGAGCCTGTACCCCCAAAATCCAGAACTTAGAGCTTGGAGCTCAGAATCTAGAACTTACATGCAACTGGGGTCAAGATCCTGGACTTCAGAATCCAGATCTCAGAACATAGAGCCCAGAACTCAGGGCCCTGAGCATGGACCCTCAAATCCACAGCCTAGAGCTTGGAGCTCAGAACCCAGGACTTAGTGCCAAGGACGTGGAGCCCAGGGCCTAGAATCTAGATCCCAGAGCTGCAGGTGGCTGGACCCGAAGGCCAGAATCCAGAGCCCCCGCCCCCTGTTTCTCTATTACTACCCTGGTCTTAGCTCCTTCATACTACCAACCAATATTTTTGGAGCACCAGTGGCAGGCACTGTTGAAGGTGCCAGAAGCTGCCAGCAAGAAACAAGTAGATAAGCAGATCCCCTCTCCCTGTAATGTCAGGTCCACGAGGGCGGAGACTGGCTCTGCTGTTCACTCTTGGGTCTCCATCGCCTCTAACGGGCCCCCCGTGGGTGCTTCCCCAATGTCTGTTGGATAGATTCGTTCACTTATCCCACATATGTTTGTTGTCCCTGTTAGTTGTTGGCGTTCTGGGGTGGGGATGAAACACACACATCTTGCCCTGATGGATCAGCTCTCTCTGGCTGCCAGGAAACTCTTGGAGAGAGGGGGTTGTTTCTGACAAAGGCAGTGGCCAGAGCTGGGGAAGGCTGTGGTGGTGGTAGGGTATCGAGTGGGTAACCACCAGGAGCGGGGAGGCATGTGGCTTTGGAGGCCCTAAATTCAAGCCCCAGGCACTCCTGCCCCTGCAGCTTCTGTTCCCTCCTCCATAAAATAATCAGCTCCTAACAATGACTCCTGCTGCCCAGAGGCATTGTGCGGGTAAACAGTTTCGATTTTGTGGCCTTAAAGCTCCCAGGCAGGGCAGGGCAGGGCAGGCAAGCCAAGTGTCGCAAGTGGCCACCTTAGCAGGGAGAAGGTTCCTTTATGATTCCACGGGGGCCTGGCGCCAGGGCGCCTGGGGTGGGTTGGCCTTTGTTCCATCTGTTTGCACCCAGGTGGGGCTGGCCCGCCCCAGGGCCCCTTCCTCCCTTCCTCCTGCAGGGACGCTTCCAAGCCCAGCTTCTTATTCCCATTTTCTGTAGGAAGAAACCAAGCCCCCTTTGTAATTTGTAGAGACCACCTCTGTCCCTCTCCAAAGGTCCCTCCCGCCTCCTGGTGACCACTACTAGAAATAGGGAAGGCAAACAGCCTTTCCAGTCCCCAGGGCCACAGAGTGGACACTGCCCCAGGGGAACGAGATTTGGGAGGAATGTCTGCCATCTCCCTGATGGAAGGGAAGGACAAACTCCCCTGAGAGGCAGGGAAGCAGGCAAACACCCAGGGAGCTCCTCCTAAGGTGAGTGGCTGCCCTATGTGAGTTTATAGCACCAGACAGTAGATCAAAAGTCCACTATGTGTGAGTGTGTGTGTGTGTGGGGGGGGGTGTTAGGCAAAATGATAAAACGATTTCAAACTTTATTTGTAAAAACTAACAAGACCAGCACAAGTCAGAAAATTAGGGAAAATAAACGAGGCGTGTGTGTAACACGTTCCAGTACTAAGATTCTATGATCACAATCTTTCAAACCTGCAGTTCTACTGTAAGAATAAGGAGATCAATGGCTCAGACTCAAGTAAGCCCAAAATAGACCCTATTATTTACAAGATAATGGATGATAAAGGAGGTATTCTGGGTCAATGCAAGGGTGGAGGGTTATTCAAGCAAGTGGAGTTGGCACTACCGACTGGTTAGCATCTCACTTGGTAAACACCTGACTCTGGGATCTGAAACCAGCGGCATGTGGCCTTATCCAGCCAGCAGACAAATTTTGATTTGGCTGCATGATGTTTTGCAAAAGTA